TGCATTCCATTCATCACTTTCATTCCCCACTTAAAATACTGTTTGGAAATTTCCTAAGGGGAAATCTCTATAAAAGCACTAAGAGAAAGAAAGTAAGGATGAGTTACTGCCTGTAAATCGTGCAGTTTAATGTCTTTCGTTTTGATCACGATTTAAGACTTAAAACCATGAGTATCTGTGCAAAAGAACTTTCTTCTATGAAGATTGTCCGGCTTCCTCCCTAGGTTTCAATCCCAAAATTTGCCATGAATAAAAGAAACATCACCTCATTTCTCCCAAGATTCCACGCCGACAATGCTCTTCACCGGCAGGTGTTTCCCTTTATGACGCCAAACGCTCTCTAGAACCTCAATAACTGAAGAACTCCCTAAATCTTAGGTTTTTCTATTGCCCCAGCGACGCTCCAGGGTTTGTTTCTCTACTCCCCTAGGCCCAAGCCCGCCCAACGGCGTTAAACCCAGCCTCTTATTGGTCCAAGTGTATGCTCGTCCCCCCAGCAAGCCAATCAGAGCCTCCCTTTTGTACGCTAGGAATATGGGAAACGGAAGAGACCGCTGCCTGTCCCGGGAGCAGGGGGCGGCCATGAGGGAATGACAGCTCTATCTTCCAATAGGCAGAGCCCGGGACCTGCCCCTCTGGCTCCGGGGATAGAAAAGAGCGTAGATGCCGGCAGCAGCGATGAGTTGTAGGAGGTGCTGGCTGCTAGGCGGCCCCGAGGATCCGCTGCTGCTGCTGTCGCCGCTGCCGCCGGCATCTTTGCAGGTGAGTGGTCTTGTTTTAGAATATTACTGTTGCGAATGTTTCCATTTTTAAGTGATGTGGTGTTTTATCTTGGGGTGTGGGGAAGGCCTTTACTTCCCCCGATTTAGTCTTTGGTGGGAGTCTGGTGCCCACTCCACCCCTTAAGCTGGGACGCTCGCGTGTCCCCCGGGTCTCTCTCCGCTGTCCCTTTCTCTGCATGAGCCTCTCAGGCAGTCACAGTTCTGTCAACTGAAAGGAGAAAACCGCCTTGGTAGTGGTGTCTTGAGGCAGGAATAAATACAAGTTGAAGGGAATGATGAACTTCTCTCTCCTGGACATCTCAGGCACGGTGCGGCAGAGCCTGAAGAGTAGTAAGGTTCCCTGGAAGGAGGCAGGGCATTTAGGGTGCCCTGTATTTAGGGTGCCGGCAGACTGGCCCTATCATTTTGTGTAAGAAGACGGAAAAACTTGAATGCCATGAAAGGAGAAGGAGGTGAATATATGCAGTGGTTTCATGTACCGCTGGAGTCAGGAGCCAAATCACAGGTTTTTAGAAACACTAAAAATACAAAGGTAAGTGTATTTCCGTCTTTTCTAAGGGGCAGGGGCCTGGCATTACACTACAGAAGGTCAATAAAAATGCGTTATTGAAGGTAGGTTTGCAGTTAAGCTTTGACGGATAATTGGTTGTTAGTTAACTTATTATAACTCCCATTCCCTACTGCCTCACTTCCAAATTATGGAGGATTTATAGCTTTTGAGTGTAACTACAATATTAACTGACTGAGTGCAGATTCCTTCAGAGGGGAAAAAACAATCAAACGCTGTTTCACCACCAGTAGCTACTAAGATTTTCTACCATGAAAGCAAAACTTGTGTCAACTTGTTTGCCCGGAGTCCAAGGACTAGATTTTATCCATCATTGTATTCCTCTAGCATCTCATAAACCACAGATGCTCCCCAGATGGTGGTGGACTTTAGAGAAGCATAGTTCAAACAAATGGCATAGTGGAAGGAGCTCTGAGTTAGAAGGTGAACACCTTGGTTTTAGTCCTGAAACTGTTACTATTTGTGTGATCTTAAACAAATCATTTCAATTCTGACTGTTAATTTTTAAAAGCAGATGTTGCATTACATTATTTCTGAGGTCCATGCCTGTAAAAATCTGTTTTAAAATACAAAGGATTAGACAATTTTCATCACCGGTACACAAGCAGAATCTCATTGCAGTAAATTCTGTACCAATCTATTAGCAAGTAAAAGTTTCCAGCTTCAAGAATAAGTTCTTTTGTGTTCATACTTAAACCAAACCACAAACTATTGTAGAAAATTTGTGCAGTACAACAGTATAACGTGACAGAAACTGTCATCCTTAATCCCATCACTCAGAGGCAACCGCTGTTAATTTTGGTTAGATCTTTTAGTCTTTCTTCTTTTGCCTTCTATGGTTGGTTGAGATTAAGAGACACACCTTTTATTTTAAGTAATG